AAACTGGGAAGAGTGGCAAATCAGTACTGGAACATCATACTTCATAGGTACGAAATGTTTGTTAAACATGCTCGGATTTCTGCTCAGCAGATTCTTAAGATTCTGAATTTTGTCAGCGTCTTCACTTAGCAGTTAACCACGTATCACTTTCTAGGGAGTCGATTCAGTCCCTATGAAGTTAAATGTAGCTGAAGTTACGGAGGTGAACAGGAACGGTGGGCATCCTTAGTGGACACCATTAGTTGCCGTCGATTCAGATGATGACCTTCTATATGACCTTACACGGCTGCATGAATTCAGTTTGAGAGCTTTACCAGATAATCAGTGAATATATCAACCAATAAAATTCAGTGCTAAATTTTCATCTACTCTACTGATAACCCAATCAAGCTGGAGGGATGGTGGGATGTGAGTATGCAATGCACCATTAAAGTTCTTCCATACACCTGCGGAGGTAACTTTCGTGTGTGGATGAAGTGTGAATATCATAGTCTTTTCATCACTAATATCCTGTGTATGCTGTTGAATATTATATATTGGGTGGTGAGTAATACTTGCGAAGATTTGCATTGACTAACATGACGAAAGTATGTACTACGATCTTGAAGTCACTGTACACCTGAACAGTTGATACTCTCCATAGCAAGACTGATTTGAAACATAATGTGGTAGAGTAAGTTGGACTTAGTTGGAGAAAGATTTGGGGTGAACAGACTAAGACTTGGCACCAATCAACTACCTGGCTGTAGTCTCCGGGATAAAGGAATCAGTGGTTGAGGACTCTTGGTTAAGTGGCTGGAAATCGGTCACGGTAGCATAGGTATATTCACTATTTGATATCTTCTAAAGCTTGAATATTTGCCCTAGCCTTTATCTTTCAGACAATTTTATCTACTTTGTTATCACTCCTTTTCTGTTTGTTTATTCTTTGCACAATACTATGAAGTGTGGCAACTTAAACCGATACATTCCCGTATGATGTTCTATGTTGATTTTGTCTATCTGTCATATATGTGTTGAATTTCAGTGACTCACCTAAACTGAAGAAGAAATACAGTTTATCAGTGCATATCATAACTCAGAGTTTTTGTTCATTACATATTTTTGCATCCCTATAGTGATGTTCGGCTCATTGATTTAAACAGCTGACTTCGAAGCATCGGTTGTCAAATGTTAAACGAAGTTAAATCTATTTCTTTATCAAAGGTAACACTATTTAGTATTAGAAGCCTTTATACAATACATATGTCACATAAGGAAATAATGAAAAAACTGTTCTATATATATCAGATTTTCAGGATATTGGGTCGCCTTTTTCTAACTATTACACACAATTGGTTTCCTTTCATAGCCTAGAATACAAAACCTGTTTATCTGGTTAGTGAATTGGCAAACTATAAAGTATTGTTATTTATATTTTGTTAGACAAAAAAAGTTCAAGCAATCCACTAGATCTTGTTCGTTTGAACAGTGTTCATTGTTGACTGACAATTGAGAAAGAAGATAACAACAACTTTTAACTGTAGCCCGGGAGAAAGTGAACAAAGATATCTAGGTGATAGAATATTTGAAATTTTTGTCAAGTAAATCTATCAACTCAACACAATGATTAGGAAAAAGACTGATTGATTAAAGAAATATATTCCTTTTCAATTAGGTCTTCATCTTGGGCTCTACACTAATATACACAGTCTTACAATTTGATCAAATTACCAATCACGGGGTGGTGTAAGCCTAGAAGTTACATCATGTTGATGGCCACGGTAATGAAAGTGATCGAACAAACTTCTTTTGTATACAAAGGTTAGGTTTGTGAAGGTGGATTGCAATCGCTTCTGTTATTTGAAGTAACTGAGTGCGTAACAGCATGTGGAACAAGATCCGGTTTTTCAACACCAACGTCAAGTCAGTGCTTCTGTATGGCTCAGAGACTTGGCGCATCACGAAAGGGATTTCCAATAATCTACAGACATTCATCAACAACTGCTTACGCTGGCTCGCTACTGAAGATCAGATGGATTGCCAGAAAGAATAAGCAACAAGGAACTCTGGGAACGAACCAACCAAGAACCTATCACGCAACAAATATGCAGGAGGAAGTGGAGATGGATTGGGCATGCACTGAGAAGGCCGACTGAGGACATCACGCGTCAGGCCAGGTACTCGAGTGGAACCCTGATGGGAAGCGACGAGTTGGACGTCCGAGGGTGACATGGAGGAGGTCGTGCGAGGAGGAAATGAGAGGTTGTGGGCGGTCGTGGAACCAGGTTCAAAAGATCTCAGAGAATAGAGGTCACTGGAGACGTGCTACTGAAGCCCTATGTTCCACTAGGAACCCAAGGGACTAATAATAATAATAGTAATGAGTGCGTAATCCATGAGATAAATTAACTGGAATCTGATGGATGATTTTGAAGGCTTTTTCAAGTAACCACTTGATGTCCTGTATCAACGAAGTGTGCAAGTACCGAGCACTTTATAGTTGTAATTTGTCCCTTGTTCAACCGTGATGGGTGGTATTGGTGATTAGGTCCTATTACGGTTTAAACTAATATATTTTACACCAGACATATCGGTCGAACTTTTTTTTCCTATAACAAAGTGTAAGTTGTAAATGATTACTGCTCATAAACCAAGAAATTCCCTCCAAACAGTATTATGCAGACCAAAGGATGCAACAACCAAAGAAGACAAATTGAATATCATTTACAAAATCAACTGTAATGACTGTAATCAACACTACATTGGACAAAGTGGCCGCCCTCTTCCCCTTCTTCTGCATGAGCATCATTTTGCTACTTAACGCCACGACATTTTGTCACTCATTTCAATGCATGTGGATAATTATGAACATGAATTCAATTTCGACAATGTAGAAATTTTGGACAGAGGAAACACAAAGAATATGGGAGAATTCGTAGACCCGATCAATCAACCAATGAGAAAAATGATGAGTGTCACAAAGGTCAGAGGAACAAGGAAATCTATGCCGACAGTCAATGAGATAACAATCAAGGGAAAGAACCAATAACAAACCAGTTGGTCAGGGCAAGCTACTACATCACTCATAAAGAGATATTTACAGCTAACTTCGTACTGAAGTTAATGCTGATAATGTCGCTGTCTAGCAAGACAATGATAACTTCATGATTAAATAAGTCAGCTCAAAGAACCCAATACAACCAAGATTATGTAACAGAAAATTTTGAGATGATGCTATATAATGAAATAGAGTAGTATACTGATCATATGTATCATATGCATTTTTTAAGAAATTTTTTTAAAAATTATACTAAATGACCTATTTTCTCTAATAAATTGATTGATATATGAACTCATATCTTGACCATAATTAATAATCTTCAAATAGTTAGTATTTTTCGTAACTTTGTATACCCACTAATTAGAATAGTTAGAAGTTGATTAAAAGTGAAAACTTTAACTATAAAATTATTTTATATTGGAAGTTAGTGTGGTATCTAAATTACAATATAGGTGAATTCAATTGAACCTTAATTTAGAGTTCAGTGTTATTTGCTGATTAAGAAAACTGTTTCTTATTTTACGTTCATATATAGACTTTTTATTGTAACTTACTTAGTAATATCATGATGATGTTTATGGCTGTTTAATTGTGTAAAACTACAGTTGATTCGTTCAGATATTCAAATTTCAAGATGTATATTGTGAGTTTTGAGCAGTCAGTTAAATGTGGTTCGCAGTCAGTCTATCATGTATTTGACAATAATAATGATAATAATAATCACTTTATTCTAGAGAATAATTTTTATACAGTATACAAGTCTCAGTATGATATTGTAACAAATTTACTCCTTGTAGAATATTTTTATATTAACTTGTCATTTAAGTTATAAATAATGTTAATAATAACATTATAATATATAATAATAAACAATTCATCATAGGCTGACATCAGTTGGGAGAAGATTGGAAACTTGGGAACACTGGATAACTGTTTCATAGTAGAATAGGTCTCCTCAGCATGGCCTTCAAGTTTCGCAACTATCATGTTACTATTGAGCCACTGGGTTGGTAGCCAATAATACATATTTTCTACTCCTGTCAGCGTGATCTACCTTGAATGTTTTCGTTGATTCACTGTCCTCATGTTCGACTTGATTGACTCAACAATTCATGACTTCTGATTGAAACTTCTCCATAAATTGTGACCAGTGGAGTCAACCAAGTCGGACTATGAGGACAGTTACTCAACGAAAACATTAGATGTTGGTCGCGCTGTATTATGAGCTGACAGGACTAAGAAATATGGACTATTAAATTTCGACCTAGCGGCTCAATGGTGATGCACTGACCACGGAACCTGAACGTCCTGCGCTTCATGTCTGACGGGGACATGGATACACTCTGCTGAATAGTCTCATATTAATGGTACGAAACAGCTGTTCAGTGCTCCCACGTTTCCAATGCCCTTCTAACTGATGTCAGTCCATAATGAATTCCAACCTCCAGATAGAAAGAATACACAATAACCAGTTGTTTTTAGGTTGTTGTCTGGTTTGTGAGAGTACGTTGTTGCATGAGAGAGGAGGGTGGATAAAAAAATCACTCGTAAGCTTCATAGGGGAGGTTTGTTCAGACAGCAGTTCCAGCTAACTATTCCTGTATTAATTGTACGATATACTGCTGTGCACTCAGGAGTTCCATTGCTATCTCCTTTTATATTTTCTTGCAATTTTGTTGTTAACTTATCTAACGATAAGTCGAAGAAATTTTAAAAGTGCACAAGAGTACGGTTTATGGTTCGTTGACATATAAATGACTGAAACATGTAAAAAAGGAGCCATTTTAGCAAGTCGACAATTTTTTATGCGATTAGCTGTACTATTTTGTATACGTGATTTACTTTGTTGCCACAACAAAATGTACTTACTATACATTAGACGTTTTACGTAAACATATACACAATGAATGCATAATATGACTACCATTGTTTATACTACTTTCTTCATCTTTTACAGTTGGATCGATTCAAGGAACCACCTGCATTTGGAGCAATGTGTGATTTATTATGGGCTGATCCATGTGAAGATTTTGGTCAAGAGAGAAATTCGGAACACTTTAGTCATAATACAGTTCGAGGCTGCTCATATTTCTACAGTTTTAATGCATGTTGTCATTTTTTACAAGCTAATAATTTATTGTCAATTATTCGTGCACATGAGGCTCAAGATGCCGGGTTAGTTTAGTTTAAATATGCCTTCTTTTCTATTCATACTTTGTGAGTTGTTTGAAAAGTGAAGAACTGGAATATGACTAGAAAGTGGTGATATATTATATGGATTATTATTTGTCCCTTGGGTTCCTAATGGAGCATAGGGCTTCAGTAGCACGTCTCCAATGCGCTCTGTTCACTGAAATCTTTTGAACCTGGTTCCATGACAGCCCACAACCTCTCATTTCTTCCTCACACCATCTCCTCCATGTCATCCTCTCCTCGGACGCCCAACTCATCGCTTCGCATCGGGGTTGCACTTGAGTGCCTGGCCTGGTGCGTGATGTCCTAAGTCGGTCTTCTCAGTGTATGCCCAATCGATTTCCACTTTCTCCTACATGTTTGTTGGATGATAGGTTGTTAGTTGGTTCGTTCTCCGAGTTCATTGTTACTTATTCTTATTATTCTGTCCATCTGATGTTCAGTAATGAGCCAGAGTAAACAGTTGTTGATGAATGTTTGTAGTTTGTTGAAAATGCCTTTCGTAACGTATCAAGTTTCTGAGCCATACAGAAGCAGTGACTTGACGTTGATGTTGAGAATCCAGACGTTGTTCACACTGTATGCTGAGTGCAGAAGATCTCCACACTGGTTTAGGTTATTGAACGCCTGTCTTGCTTTTACGATTCTGAATTTAACATCCTCGTGTGTGCCACCGCCACCTGTAGTTGAAACGATGCTTCCTAGATAGGTGAGAGAGGCTACTTCCTTTAGGTTTCTCCCATTGATGGTGATTGGAGTTTGTTGTTGGTGGTGTTGTTGGTCGGGTATCTTCATCACCTCTGTCTTCTCTATACTCACTTGAAGTCCCGTCTTCGCTACCTCTTCTGTCAACTTGTTGGTTTTCGCCTGTAGATCATCAAGTTGTGCAACACTAGACATAAGTCATGTATATTTGCAACGAGTTAATATTTTCATCTGATTGTTGACAAAGGTGCACTTTATTCGAAGTGAAAGACTTTATATCATTTTTGTAGATGTTAGTTGGATGAAGGCAATCAGCTGGAAGCCTTAAATGTAGGTTTTGTGTTTTATAAGTACTCATCAGCAAGGAGTATCTCCAATCTCTACAGAATTGATATACCGCCTGAGATTTGAACCCACATCGCCCAGTGATACAATCAGAGACGTAACCACTGAGTTATTCGGGTGGCGGTTGACCTCCTATAGGATTGAATTAGGCATATTGATTAGTCTCTTCATTTTCTGTTGAATAGTTGTAATATTATATAACAACAAGAAGATATGAAGATAAATAATGTGTAAAATCAGCTGTTGTTCAAGTGTATCTTTTTTTCCTGTTGTTGTTGTTCAAACAAACTGACATTTCTGTAAACATTTAGCCGATAGTTTTGAGTAGGTGAACATTTTGTATGCTAAATTTTTTATTTGTTACTCTTCAGGATAAATATCAGGAAATTATTATTTGAGTTAGCCTAAACTGTTACATCTATTCACTCGAAAGTATGGATAGCTGACTTAATGTTTGATGAAGATGTTAGATGTGAAATGTAACTTTTTTCCTACCATTATATCATTAGTGGGCGAGGTAATTTTTTGTTACCCGTATATTGAACTAAGTTGTTTTCAGGTTGATATTCACCACGGTTTAACATCATTAGCGGCAGTCGACACCTGTTTCGTCGTAGTATTGGGCTCCTCATCAAGACGAATCTGTGACCCCTCTGGGGATCGAACCCAGGACCCTCAGGTTCTATGGTCAGCAATTTACCATTGAGTCACCTGCTCAGAATTCGACGGTCCACATTTTAACACTTCTGTTACTGAGTACCTGTCTTCAAATCCTACTTGATTTGACCCATTGGTCATGACTACTCACTCGTACTTCGAGAAATCTCATCTAGAGGTTTATGGGGATTTTATTGATTTCCAGTTGTTATTCATCAAGAGTTGACATCAGTTAGATATCCATTGAAAACTTGCTGGCACTGGATAACTGTTTTATTCTGGTATGGGACGATTAAGCAGCGCGCACTGATAATCTCTGCCTGAGTTGGAACTCAGAACCTTAAGGTTCCAAAACGAATTCTTACTGACTAACTATTGTTATCAGGATAAGAATAGGTAGGGACGTGTAATGAATTCGTTGTTTTGGTCAAACTTGCTTCATGCTAAAGACTGTTTCGATGATCTGATATATGAGTGTAGTCAAGTTATTTTTTTATTATGAAGGATGGAGCGAGTTGATTCTGGTTCCAGTATAAACCGATTGTTCCGTATTTCTACACTGTCCTAAATCTTGGTAACTATTTGGAAAGAGATTAATTTTTCTAACTAATAGTATCCGATTGGCCACATTAAAAATCTAATCGACAGATTTTGATTAGTACCGAAGATTTTGTAGTCACATAGATTACCATCCCGTGTGTTCACAGTTTATTCCTTTAAGTGGTCAGTAGTGACCTGGTTGACATTGTTGTGCAGTCCCTGAACTTGTGATTTTAAACCTTCAGTGGAGTAAGTATTTCATCAGATTAGTATAATTATTTTTTTTAATATCGTACCGTCGTTGATTGGGCCGAATTGATCGGTTTCTATTTGCATTTGGGATCATGTGTGGATGCCTCGATATTACCGTTGCTCTAATGGCAGTAATGATGGATAGTGGCTAGCAGGGGAATCGAGGATGCGCATTTCGTCCTATTTGGGACTTGTTAGCTGGACATAACCCCCGAATCCGAATCCCGATCGGAAGAACATCACTCACTGGGAGGAAGGTACCTCCAGCTGACAAGTCCCAAATGGGACGAAATGCGCCTCCTGGATTTCACTGCTAGACACTATCCGTCATTTCATCAGATTGTTGATGCTTTTTGCTTACGCATATAAATACTGACAAGCACAAAACCCCACTTGAAGCGAAACTTCTCTCTACTGGTTTCCTATTCGCTAACGCTTACCATATAATTTTACTAATTGGCTAACTTTGTTCTAACATATATACGTTGGTTTGTGAGCAGAGATGTAACTTTGAAGTAGGTTCATCCATTGTTTATATATTGAACGTAACAACAACAAAATTGATAGTATTCTTCATCTATGTACTTTTATTATTATTTATCCGTTGGGTTCCGAATGGAGCATAGGGCTTCAGTAGCACGTCTCCAATGCGCTCTGTTCACTGAAATCTTTTGAACCTGGTTCCATGACAGCCCACAACCTCTCATTTCTTCCTCACACCATCTCCTCCATGTCATCCTCTCCTCGGACGCCCAACTCATCGCTTCGCATCGGGGTTGCACTTGAGTGCCTGGCCTGGTGCGTGATGTCCTAAGTCGGTCTTCTCAGTGTATGCCCAATCGATTTCCACTTTCTTCTACATGTTTGTTGGATGATAGGTTGTTAGTTGGTTCGTTCTCCGAGTTCATTGTTACTTATTCTTATTATTCTGTCCATCTGATGTTCAGTAATGAGCCAGAGTAAACAGTTGTTGATGAATGTGTGTAGTTTGTTGCATGATCCAGTCGACCACAATCAGGAATATCATGGGTGATAGTATATGGCAACCTTGTTTCACTTCTGTCCACTTCAAAAGCATCACTGAGCTTCACATTATGAATTACTTGGCATGTGGCGTCTTCATATAGTTGTTGAATGAGGCTGATAAGGGTTTGCGGTATTCCGTAGTGTTGAAGCAACTGCTAAATTACTTCTCGATCGACTCTATCAAAGGCGTTTTCAAAGTCGATGAAGTTGAGGTAGAGAGTTGACTACCATTCTGTACTCTGTTCTATGATGATGCGTAGAGTAACGTTGCAATTTGGTCCGCACATGATTTGTACTTCCTAAATCTAGCCAGCCTGCCTGTTCCGGTCTTAGTTTTAAATTCAGTGCATCCTTTCATCTCACTGGGATGATGCGGCTTAATATTTCGCTTGCTGTGGGTGGACAGGAGCGTGATTCCGCGCCAGTTCTTGCAAACACCATCTATATACTTAGTTGAGTATTATAACCTGATGCATTGATATCGGTTTCATGTTTTCAATTGAAACTACCACCAAAAGGACTGTTAGTCATTTTAGTAGTATTTGGTAGCATATAATGGATTTATTAAGTAAAATCTTAAATAAGTGTTATACATTTGTACAAATTAAAAGTTATTTCATGCTTGTATGGACCGATCAAGCTGTCTAAGCTGAATGAATCGCTCATCAGTAACGTGTTGGCTGCAGAAACTGAAGGTTTTGGGTTCGATCCCTGGTAAGGTCATGGATGCTTCCTGCTGAAGAGTCCCATATTAGGACGCTTAAGCTGTCCAGTGCGTCCAGGTTTCCAGTTGATTCCTCAATTTATATCAGTCTGTGAGGAATCCCAGTGAAAATAAAATGCACTGATTATTCCACCTTGTGTATACATTTATAAGATGCTTTTGTGTTAGCGTCCTAGTCAGTCTTCAACTTAATTGTTCACAGTGTTTATTATCACCTAATCGATTATATAAGGAAACTTCCACCTGATGTATAATCATACCAAGGATTATTTCAGCATAGATTGTTTATTGCTACTTATTGACATACTTTGTTATTCTCCGTTGTTTCGTTGGATAGAATTGTTCGACTTCTATTGGTATATGGGCTCCTATGCGAATGCCTGGATTATTACCTCATGTACCTGCACCCCAATGATTAATGTTGTTCCCACTGAGACTCGAACCTCGTACACATCGTTTCAAACACGAAGGCGTTATCCACTATGCCACTAAGGCATGATAAGCACTTCTTGTACAATGGGTATTAGTTATTACTATCTATTGATGTACTTGTTGTTCTCTGTTATCTCAATCGGAACAACACTCACTGTGTTACAGGTACATCCAGCTGACGAGTCTCAAATGGGACAAAACCTACGTCCTGGATTCTTCTGCTAGCCATAATCAGCCAAATTATCATAGATTCTCTATGTTGAAGTAATCTTTTGAGATAGGATAGATAAAATGCCATAATATCTTATAATTTAGTTGAGTATAAATGAATTCCGCATATGAGATGGCTTGGTTGGCGACTATATTATGTTAAAGCTCTAATACCCTGGTTCGTTAAGCAGTATTTAACATGGTTGAATCAAGGAGACTGTAACATACTTCAACCATTCAGTGTTCTTTCACAAAGTTATCACTCCATTTATGAATTTGAGGAAAAAAAATCCCATTTAGTCAGTAACTTGTAAGTCTGTATATTCTTTCTCATAAATATTATGATTATGATTATGATTTAAATGTGATTTCGTTATTTTATTCAGTTATCGAATGTACAGAAAAAGTAGACAGACTGGTTTTCCTGCATTGATCACAATTTTCTCAGCACCGAATTATCTAGATGTTTATAATAATAAAGGTGAGTTGGACTGCCCTTATATTATATAGCATAACATAAATATTTTTCGTCATCATATTCCAGATTTTGTTAAACTGTTTAGGAGAGATGGCTTAGAGAAATTTTCACACTTGATGATCTAACTCATATTCTAACTAGACAAGCTTATCAATACTTGAAAAACTAGTTATTCAAACTGCGGCGGAAGGATAATCAACACGATGCTCTCCCTCCCCTTTAATTCAGTTAGATTGAGATTGGGACTGAAAAGTCCTGATTAGGAAGCCAGTGTAAGTACGATTAAGCTATAGTAACGCATTACGAATACACATAGTAGATAGGTGAACCCCTACTTAAAGGTTGAAGTGAAATTAGGATCTGGTCAGCAGTTGGACCTCGTAGCTCAGTTGGTAGGGCATTGAGTAGGAAAGCCATTGGTCGCTGCTGCGAATCTGGCAGTGGTCCAAATTTTTCATTTCACCGTCAATCATCACCGAGTATGAATACTAAATCATGGTTATCTCAGACAGTCAAAGCGGTAAAGACGTTCATTAATATTTCAAATTTCTGTTTTTCCAATAAGTTTCTTTTTATTCTCAGTTAGTGTTTTCGATTCAGCGAATCGCAGCAAAGTTAATTTATTCGAACTCGATAGTTATTTTCTCCTAAGCCAGTTTTATTTAACTAGTTATTATAGTCTATGATATATTTTGTTTGGTGGTAACTAACAGTGGAATCCAGTACGGTTGTTTCATCCTATTTAGGAGTCACTCATCAGCCCGAATCCTAGTGAGTTCGCATTTAGCGACATCTGCAAAACATCATTTAGAAAGTCGTATAAATGTTACTTCTTAAATGATGATTATGAGCAGTGTGAATTTGATGACAATGAAATAGGAACTTTAGAGATCTGTTAGAGTAGTAATTTACAAACTACTTACAAACTCCTTTTTCAACATGTTTTTCTTAAATATTTATATCTATTCTGTGATTTTATTTCTAAAGAATAAACTGATGTAGGCAAATCTCTTACTGAACCTTCATGCATTGAAGATATTGATAGGAACAGTTATCATTTGGTTTTAGGTGTACTGTAGCGTCTCCAAGAAAAATTGTTTACTTATAATTGGTACTATTTAACCAATAGCTTTTCTTATATATCAAAAAGGATTACAGCAAGGAAAAAATATTTTTTTTTGTCGACAAAATCATTCTCTTAACTGTACATTAGTGAATATACATAGTAGAGATAGAAAAATATTTCAGAGTAATTTTCGATTAAAGTTCAATATAAATTACATCATGAAGGAAAGTTAAGTAATATGGAAATAAACAAAATCACTGAAAATTTAAAAATAGTTACATTATATAAGGATTGTTTAGGGTAGGTGATAATCTGCAATAACTATGGCAAAGGAGGAGGTTGAACGTAGAATTATGGTTCGAACTTTTGAATCGCTAATGTTTCAGCTATGCTTGATTGTGATATGTACAGACATTTGAAGGACCTGTCAAAAGGAGCTAAATCTTCTGAGTTTACTAAGTGTTCTGTGACACAGCTGAGGATGAATTTCCATTCTCTCCTTATCAGCCAAGTTGGATAGTGTTCATGAGTGCGTTGCATAAACTGGCGCATGATATAGTCGATGTACTCAACTCTACAGTAGCAAGTAAACCAATATATACACAGTGATATGGTCCAAAGCTCCAGTTTATCCTTTGAGTACTAATGAATGAGTTTCTGACGGGAGAATATGATTCCAAGTGTATTGGCAAAGAAATTTTCTTTTTTATGGATCTTGATAATCTCATTCTAAGTATATCTGACGTATTATCTCTCTTGAATTCAAGGTTAAAACAGTCTAATATTTCTCCAATCGGTATGCGCACGTTCTTTGGCGTTTTTTAACTTTAAATTCTTATCTATGGCTTTATCTTATGTTGACAGTTTTGTGTGTCATACTAATAATTACACATTAAAGTTAAAATTACTTGGAATAAATTGACCATTATTATTATTGTTACAGTTATTATTTTACTGGAATTATTGATTAATTCAAGGGGTTTTATTGATGTGCTTCACACTTTATTTCTACCACGATTTTTTTAAAGTAATAGTATAATCTAGAAGTAGTATTCATCATGGACTGTCATCAGTTGGGGAACCATTGGAAATCTGGTAGCACTGGACAGCTGTTTCGTCCTAGTATGGGACTCCTCAGCAGTACGCACCCACGATCCGGCTAGGGGTGGAACTCAGGACCTTCAGGTTCCACGGCGAACGCGTTAACCATTCAGTCACTGGGTCGGTTTCCACTGGTCCACAATTTCCATAGTGACTTGCTTCCAGATGGATGTCAGTAAGTTCTAATGAGAAGCCATGACCTGTGGGGTCAACCTGTCAGAAGTGAAGTGGATGCTAACTGAAGTAAGACCTTGGATGATAGTCACGCTATCTCGTGAATTGACAGAAGTTGGAAATTTTGAACCACTGGAAACCGACCCAGTGACTGGATGGTTAACGCGTTCGCCGTGAAACCTGAATATGGTGAGTTTGATCGGTGGCCATGTCGTGGGTGCGTACTGGTGAGGAATCAGTTGCATACTAGGACGAAATAGCTGTCCAGTGCTACCAGATTTTCAATGGTTCCCCAATTGATGTCAGTCGATGATGAATACTACTTCTAAATTAAGAAATCCTCATTCATCTGAAAAATACATTAATAGTATAATCGTTATCTTTTGTTTTGCTGAGGAGGACTCATTTTTTTCAATTCATTGTATTCCCTCCTTCCGATATTTTTCCATTCCAACTTATCTTCGTATATTTGATGAGATGAATGAAGATGCTAAAAACAAATGGGAGTACTATTAGAACAGTCTAACTCTGAGCATACAGCCATGTTAAGTATGACACAATTATTGTTGCTTTTTTTATTTGCATAATTTAAATAATTATGGTGTATAAATTAAACTTCATTACTCACTTCACTGCCCACTCTAGTTTTCTCTTAGTCTGATATGATTTAACATTATTCTCTAAGTGGTGGTAGCGTTACTGACTACAACACTGATTGATGCAGGTTCGAATTTCAGGCAAGACATCAATTCTGTCGGGCTTACATATACGTTTTGTTGACGAGTACCAACATATACGAAAGTCAGTTTCCAGAGCTTTTTGTCGATTGACTTCATTTAACTAATATTTATCAAAATGCATTGTCTTGCTGCCTAGTTTGGTGGCCACACTGTAAAAACGTTTGATAGGATTCGGTCAGCACTTTGGATTAGATAACATGAAGTTGGTTACTCTCCAGTGACCAATCAATGTATTCTGTGTCTCTTTTGATGATTCGATGTTTGTTTTTACTCTTTCCTAAATCTTTTCATCTTATCAGAAAACAAGGGGGGGGGAGATTAATTGAATTCCATGTTAAATCTTATTTGACATAGCGCACAATACTTATGAAGTAGAGTATTTACTACATTGTTGTTCATTATCAGTATTGAGTGCATACTACGCTTCAATCACCTATATAGTAGGTGTGGCTCTGAGTATAAGTTTCATTTGGGGTATTTTAATACTCAAAAGGGAAGTATGTTTGTAACATATACTTGATTTCGCACTCATTATACTACACAACATCTGCACTGTAGTTGTTATTGTTCACAGTTTCGTTCATTATTTCCTTAATCATATAGATTATGTAACAAATACAGGTATTAATGTTGTTGGTTGTATTATTCCGTCGTTTATTGGACCGAATTGATCAGTCCCTATCGGCATATGGGCTCCCGAGCGGATGCCGTGATATCTAATTACTTTTAGTCATTATGCTATGGTTTCTCCGCTTTTTGTCCTCCTCCTCCTCCATGAGTAGTAGTAACAATAATGCCAGCATTCTTGCTTAGATGGTTATTAGTACTTCTATTTGATACATGTTAGTTGCTTGGAGGCAATCAGCAGGAGGCAATGCTTGGTCTAGGTTTTGTGCTTGCTTAAGGGAATTGACGTTTTCTCTGAGATTTGAACTTCTGTCGGCCAGTGTTGTAATCATTGAGATTACTACTGATGTATTCCGACTGCAATTAACCCCCTATGGGACTTGGTTAGATATATTACATGATGACTGGAGAGTAACCAATTTCATATTGTGTATTCCTCGAGGTTGGTGATACGCCTTGCTGGCAAGTGCCCACAAACACGAAACCTAAGTCAAGCAGGGCTTCCTGCACCGATTTCTTTCAACCAACTAACATTTATCAACGTTTACCCTGATGATGAGCCTCCTCCTAGCTTGGTGGTTACATTATGAAATGATCGATGGTCGTAGGTCAGCGATTAGGAATAGAACATAAGATTCGTTTGCTCTCCAGTGACCAATCACTCCATTATTTCTATTACTCAACATTTTTATAACTTTTCTAGTGTACAGTGAGCATTGCACAACCTTATTCAGCTATCCACATGGAAGCCCATCTGCCAGTTGAGGACGAGCAGTTCGGCCTAGCATATCAAAGGGAAATTACAAGTAGCGAACAACAATAAATAATGCCTGTTGCACAAGTAGTGACTCTTCCGCACCACTTACCTAGTGGATAACTCTTTGGTGTTTAAAGCCATGGATACTAAGATTGAGTATCAGTTGGAACAACAGCATTCACATCGAAGCTAGTGCATCCAGCTGACGAGTCCCGAATATGACGAAAGGGGCGTCTTGGCTCCCATTGCGAATCATTGAGATGAATACCACACCTTGCACTAATTTGTTTGAAATATGGTGATGTTTAGTCATAACTCATGTGAGATATAATAAAACAATAAAAAAGTTATGTTACTCAACTCGCTACAGTCTATTATTCACGCTTATTATGTAGAGGCTTACAATACTACCTAGTTGCCCAGGGTGAAGTAAGTATTATGGGTTTCGAACTCGTGTGGGATAAGTATATTGCTGCTGATTGTAACAATAGAGATGCTTTTTGGGTAACTAATGCTAATACTTAATTTCGAGATGGATTTTAAACACACTTTTCAGGATGCTTAGATTTCACCCCAATTTTTGTTTGAGTTTCTACCGACTGTTAGGCTTCAATACATCTATGTGCGCCGGGTAATCGGTTCTTCGACATCACTGGGTAGTTGTGCGTGCTACATGTTTCACTTAGTTCTTTACAACTTTGATGACCTAAACGCAGCTCACCTCTCCGAAAAGATAGTCCTTTAGGAGTCCTGGACTTCGAACTTATGATGAGGAAAGATTCATATTAGTTTTTTCCTTCGGGGTACCGAATTATAACCAAGTCTAGGGCCAACGACACTGATATTCCGGACCGAATATTTTTCTTTTCTACAACATCAGACTGCATGCGTCTCTAGGGATTACTTCAACCACAATGACTACCGGAAGTAGGAACCTTTATTTACCTTATCTTCCGGTTGCATTGCTGTCAGCGCACTGGTCGGAATCCTTTCCTGCTTTGTAGACATGTGGCGCTTACTTAAGCTGTATGGATCTCATCGACCGTTAAGTCAGCGTGACGGTGCATTGGCTGGTATCTAGCGGGGTCACCAAAAGGTCTATCGTCATGTCTAACTAAGCTCGATCCATAATGCCCGGTGGGCAAATCATCTGCCAGTGACATGAGCCATCAATAGAAATCCAGCACCATCCAATTGCACCTATAACCTTGAATAGACATCGAGATTGCATGCAACCACTGTATAGTCAGTCTCTGCATATAATTTTCATTAATCAGACCTTAGAATCAGAGGATCGTAGTTAGTTGATTGGAAGCAATCGGCAGGAAGCCCTGTACCTAAGTTTCGTGCTTGTTGTCTGTCGTCAGCCAGAACATAACTGAAACCTTGACGGAATTGATATCATGCCTGAGATTCAGAACCACATCACCCAGTGTTATAGTCAGCAACATTATCTTTGAGCTATTCGAGCCGCGATTGTTATCCTGTTATAGGACTGGGTTACATACTTTGAATGGTCACGGGAGAGCAACCGATTTCAACAAAGGGATTTTTATTCTTTGTGGTTAGCTTATCATTAGGTAAGAACAAAACAGAAACCACCAATACCCATCAATGATGATTTATTCAATTGAAAATTAATGATTAAAAAAATAAGATATTTAAAGAATGATAATCAACCATAGAGATTAGGATAGTAATTAAGGAAAGTAGAATAATTATAGGTAGAAACAATTGTGAAAGTCAAGGCAAGTTATTAGTTATGTAATTTATTAATTAATCAGGTGGTAGATACTCTATCTTGACTTTTATTATGTAAATTCATTTTGCTTTTACCTAGTTGGTTGTCCTCAATTTTGTCATTAACTATCATTCCCTTAGTTTGTTATTTATAAAAGCGCATAATGAGAAATCAGGCTGTATTGAGGCCTCCGCATAGGAACCTATTTTCCGACAGAGGTCAGTGAATTCCACCTAGTGTATCAACGGAAGATTATAAGTATTAAGCAACAAAAAAATGATGCACGTTGCAAAAGAGATGGCTTTCGTACCCGCATGACCTAGTGGATGATAACGCTATAGCATTTGGAGTGGTAGGTACTTGGTTCGAGTCTCAGTGGGAACAACATCAGTCACTGAGGTACAGGTACATCCATCTGGTGACTACGAGGTAGAACGATAGGCACATTCTGGATTCTACTACTGGTTACTTAGATGAATGCAACACTTTAAACACCTGACAGTATTGAAGCATCCACATAGCAGGCCATCTGCCAACAGAGATCAAGTAATTCGACCCAATATAGAAATGAGAAACGACAAGTATCAATAAATAATGAGTTGTACTCACCTCGATAAATGAACTCCAAAACTGTATGTGTTAGGGAGTCGAAAGTTATCAACAATTCACTTACTCGTCAGCTTATCGATACAGAAGAAACCTCTAAAATAATTAATGAGCAATTACATTATAGGTTACTGTGGTCAACAGATATCATGTCAACCGCTGGACTGAAGCTTAACTCCTGTAGTCATAAACATTTAATGGATACCCTTGAGTTGGCATTGCAACTCAGCCTTCAACTGCCTTGACAACGATTACAACTCATTAACTTTAATTCATTTTTGCATTTTCCTTAGAGTGATAAGTATCTGGTTATTATTTGTCAACAACTAATTTCACTTCACATATAACTTGTTTCATCAGCCAACAAAGGTCGAAGAATTTCATTCAGTGTAGCAACGGGAGATACCCATTGCGAAAGAGATGGCCCTCTTGCCCCAGTGGTTCAGTGAATAGCTTTAGCTTTGATGTGTGAAGTCATCGGCACTTGATCCGAGTCCCAGTGAGAACATCACTCACTTTGGTGCAGATACATCCAGCTGACGAGACCTAAATAGGACGAAACGCGCGTCCTGAATTCCACTGTTAACCACCAAGCAGACTACAATAAAAGTTACTATTTTATCAGCCGTCATGCTTTTAAAGGAAACTTACACATTGCCGTAGGTAGAGCAGGTGGTTAGTTGTCAACGAGACTATTTCAGATAACCATGGTAATGACTGGCTGGTATAATTCATATAGAGTACTAATTAGGCGATATAACCAACAAGAAATATTTGTTTTAGTTGTTGTTTGTAGACTGGAGGTTTTCTAGTTCAAAGGTGATTTTTATCTCTCTTTGAAATCAGTTACAGAGAACTACGGAAAATTTATTAGCATTTTACAATTGTTTCCATCTAATTTGAGATTAATGATGTTAATCTATGATGAAAAGTACTTTCGAACTTATGATTTTTTTTAACAAAACAATCATTGAATGAATTAGTTAGTAACGAATACTCGTCAGATAGAGACAGATAGACAAGTCAACGTAGAACCTCATTCACAAGTGCATCAGTTCAAGTTGATACACTTCACAGTAGTACACAAAGAATAGGTGGATAGAAAAGGAGTGATATCAAAGTAGACAAAGTTGTGTAACAGAATAAACAATTTGAAGATGATGGTTAGTTTAGATATTCAATCTTTAGGAGACATTAAAGAGTGAGTACCTCTGCCCCATTATGGCTGATTTTCAGCCATATCACTGAATGTTCTCAACTTGCTGGTTTCTATCATCTCTAAGTGCTTATAAGTAATTTACTTTGAGATTAAACTTCTCGAACCTCTATTGAGACATCATGAACTGTGGGGTGAAAGAAGTTGCAAGTATGGGGGTTGCTCACCGCTGATAAAAGTAGGCAATAATGAACTATTGAATAACAATCAAGTAAGCAAATGATAACATGTGGTTGCTATAAGACCTAATGGATTGCATACTAATGAGTAAAGTAGGATGATATATCTGTTCAGGTCTTCAAAAGGTTTCCAAGTGTATCATTTTGTTTTTTTACCTATGTATTGTAAAGTTTACTTTTGGACTTTCATTTCTGTCAGTAAGCTTAATGGAGAATAGTTTAGATCTGGTAAATCTAATCATTTTTTTTAGTAGTGTTGTCAACTTGATTTTATCGTTGATTTTATCTTCTTTTTTTCATTATGTCTACGGTCTTATTGAATCGATGGTGGCTTATTTCACTGATTGATAATTATCATTGTATAAAGCTGCTATTTTGAAGTATGAGAATAATGTAATGAATATTCGTCAGTTTAATTGTTCACCTCATCCTTATTGGTTACCTAATTTTATGGATGTATTCACATGGTCATTACCATTTGTTGGAGAAAAAGGTAGGTAATAGTTTGAAGAAAATAAAAACTCTTTCTTTCATACTTTTATAGCTTATAATGGTCATTTATCATATAATATACACAAGATATTGTTCTATTTCGGTGTAATTGATCTCAATTAATATTGTTTACAAGTAAACCTATATTCTTTGAACACAGCCGTGTGAGTTTCGATGGTAAGATAATGAAGAGTTAGACGACATATGATTGTGTTCAAATCATTGTCTGTCACATTATCTACTTTGTCCTACTGTTGACGTTCTGAGCTTCTTTATTGAAGTTGCCTAGTGAGTACTAAGAAATATACGAATGATACTAACGCAATGTGGCAATATACACTTTTTATGAACATGTAAAAGCCCACTAGGTCAGACCTCATTCTGATTGGTTAATTGTAGGATAAAATTGTCCAATAAGCTTTTTCTTGACCACACAGTGAAAGGAAACAAAAATTAAAATACAAAAACTTTCAACTTTGGGGTTGATGATTTAAAATATTAGTATCTGTTTACACCTCTATGTGTTTGTTTTTATGCCAGATCCCAGTCAATATTCATTATCTCAAGTTAACCTTTTTCTAGTCTTGTACATACGCATCTTCAGTGAATTTCTATTGTAATTTGATGATTGCTTGCATTTACTGACCATACATTTCATTAAATGACAAAGAATATGCTGATACTTGATTCCTTTTCTCATTGGTCATTAGAATAAAATATCTTTTCATTAACTTGAATCATTTCACTCTCTGTTTACCTATTGAATCAGATATGAATTTCCTACTTAGGACTTGTCAGCCAGATGTACCTGCATCTCAGTGACCGATGTTGTTCCCACTAAGGCATGAATCCAGTACCCTTCATTTTAAACGCCAGAGCGTTATCTATTGACTACTCTGCTAAGTTTCATATGTGTATACTCTCTTGTCATATCCCCCTTGTACACTTTATCCTCCTGTACGTTTTTTGAAGCAATGTTCTTTTATGGGAGTTTTCTACCCAGGTTCAGGAAAAATTTGTTATGGTGTACGGTATTACTGTTTAAATTCTTCGATGAAGCTTGAAATTCCCTGAAAACATATGCAATCAATCATCACACTCTGAAAGGTACTAGAAAATGGGCTTACGTAGTGACGATCGACACTTATCATAATTCTTCACGTGATGCTAGGGTTTGACTCTGTTGACCATGAGGTGTTGTGTCAGTGTCCGACTGTGAAGCAGGTACCGAGAAATTATATAATGCTAATCAAAGCTATTTACTTAAACTCACGCAGCCATATCAAGAGCTGTCAGCTAGATTGACGACAGCTAGTGGTATCTGCCAGAGATACTGGCTATCACTGTTCTTCTTCAACTTTGTTTTCGGTGCATTATTAGATATAACTTTCGGTTTGTCTGATTGACTTCACAGGCATTGATCTAATCTCTGGAAGGTGGTATGTACTAGACTTGAAGTAACCAGACGACTTTGTCATTCTAAATGAAAACGCTGACAAAATGTAGGGTTCTTAGAACGCGTTGAGCAGAAATCTGAGTATGTTTGGTATGCTTTTCGCACCTGCCAAATGTAGGATAATATTCCAGGGCTCATCTGCAACTACTTTCAGATTAATGATAGGCAGTGAGGTGGTGGGATGTGTTGACTACTTCACTTACTTAGGGAGTTGCATCAACCTGAACGACCTGTTTGTTGACGAAATATCAGGTCCGTTACCGAAGGTCATCTTGACATTTCACAACTTGTGTCATTTAAGGTGTCGACTGGTGACATATTCGAATTCTTGTTAATGGCCGAGTATACTTTGTTGCAGTTCTTTCTGGTGTGTGGTATGAGTGTGAGAAATGGTGGTTAAAAATAGTGGATGTGAAAATATTACGGGTTTTGAACAGATGCGTCTTCATTGCACTGATCGTATAAAGTGGAATCACTCTGTGAGTAATGTTGAGGTCAGGCGAAGACTACCAGGCAAGACGAGCAAAGTTGGTCAATGAGGTTGTGAACCTTGAGGAACCGAGGTGGTTTTTACATGTCCTGCGCGTGTCGATCCACTGCCTACGTCTACAACCAATTCTAGGGGAAGTAGGATTAGTATAATTGTTTTTACATGATACCGTCGTTGATTGGACCGAATTGATTGGTCTCTTTTGGCATATGGGATCCTGTGCGGATGCCTCGATATTGCTTGCTTTCTATTTATGTTAATGATGGATCGTTGGAGCGATCGCTTCGAACTCCCCCGAGTCCGAATCCCGGTAGGAACAACACTCACTGGGAAGCTGGCACATCCAGCTGACAAGTCCCAAATAGGACGAAATGCGCATCCTGGATTTCACTGCTAGCCACGATCCATCATTAACTGAAGTTGGACTAGGTTGGAAGTAGGCTGCGGGTGAACAGATTTAGACGTGGCACCAGTCTATGTCGTCTCTGGCGATTAACAGTCAAAAGAGAAAACTGAAAAACATTCTAACGACACAACACGTGACAACGTTAGCAGGGGCAATTGAAAAATCAGACAGGCGGTACAAAGAACATCGAAGAAAGATCCTCGAGAAAAAGCTGCTCAAAATTTGAGAAGCACCTACAACCGAGGATACAAACGACTATGTTGTCAACTTATCAAAGCAACCACTAACAAAAATGGAAGGATTGAATTACAACATAAGTTCTACAACTAGGTCAAAAAGACCTTAAACAAACTCTTCAAAGCAGAAAAAATAGCAAAGCAAGACAAATGGCGAATGAAATCGAATGAACCTATACTTCTTCGGTTCTACGTCAGACCATAACTACACAAACCGGACATCGCTTCATGACCGATAGTCTCACTTCTAGAAACCAACATAGAAAATATCGAGAGAACTTCTGAGAAAACTGAAACAACTCGTTCAGACATGTAGACATTACAGCTAATCACCAACAGAATTCTTTGACAAGATCAAAAGCATTAACATACATAACGACGAATTAATAGTATCCTTCGACGTCACAGCATTATAGACATCGATCGAATTACAATTGACCAAGGAAGCTATATCCCTCCTGTTGACTGAAGACATAAACCTTTTAGAACGCACAAAACTTAAATGTCCAAGCTTGAATGAACTCATCAGTCTTTGTCTGACAACACAATTTCAATTCAATGATAAGATATACAAACAGATGAAAGGAATTCTAATGGGATCACCGAAGTCCGGATTAATTACTGAAGCAGTGATACAGAGACTGAAAGCTATCATTCTACTTGTGATTAAACAAAAATATTGGACTCTCTATACAGAGGATACTTTTGTCATCAGTAAAAATGATGATGTTGGGTATTTTAATCAGTAAGACAAATGCTGGAAAATTGAAAATCCCTAGTGTAAAGGAAGCCAACACAAACTGATCAAATCCTGAATCGTTCTAGCTGATGTAGAATAAGTTGCTAGGGTTTCCGAAATGACAATAATGATTAGTTGTAGAGACGGTTGTTGAAATAAGGGAGAATGGCATAGATATATTCACTTTTTAATGTCTTTTATACCTTGAACATTTGCACTTCGTATACACTTTTATCTACTTTGATATACGGCAACTTGAAGTGGATGCATTCCTATACATGATTCTACTTTGATTTTCGATATTGGCAAAACTTCATATAGTCGCAGGTTTAAATATTCCAGATATCTAGGATGAAATCGATCGAAGTTTTTCTTCTAAGAAAATTGTAGAGATAATCAACATCACTTAAAATATATCCCATTGCATTTTGTACATGTTTTGACCTAACAATCAACCTTCATCATTTTCTCACTTCTTGTTCTTCTTAGTATTATGAGCAACCCTTAAAGATGAAACTAGATGACTGTTATTTTAGAGGTTACATATATGTTAGCCGTTCACATAGCATTAGTTTCTTGTAGTTCTCTGCCTTATTTAGGTAGATAAGTTCATGTATAGTTAAGTGGAATATTTACCTAGAATGCTTAAGACGCCTGCTTTTGATGTTTTAGTCGCATTCTTCATTTCAATTATAAGCTAATGAAAAGTATAATTTAATGATTATGGCATTTATAATATAAGTATTAATTATGCCGATAAAGATTGTTAACTGACTGATCTATTTAGTCTAAAAAATCTCATTAGATTTCAGTCGCCTTTTTGTCTGCCAGAATACTTCTCCTTTTTTACGTTACTATGTTAATTTGAGTTATGGTGACTTTCAGTTAGAGGAGATTTACTGTTGCACTGATATGGTTATTTAAGTAATATGGTTTATGATTATTAGTAGCATTATTATTATTATCATATTGACTACCCGTGGTTTGCCAGACTAGTATTTATATTGGGTAATGATTGAAGATGAAATGACTGGATTCGAACTAGCGACCACCTGGTTTCCTGCCCAATGCTCTACCAACTGAGCTACAATGTCCAACTGCTGACCAGATTCTAATTTCACTTCAGTCGCAGGGTGGGGTTTTCGCCCGACTACAATGTGAATTCGTGACGTGCTACTATCGCCTGGACGTATTCACAGTGGGTACTTAGTCAAGACTTCTCAAAACAATCGAAATCTGAAGGAATTAGAGAGGTGTAGAATCATATTGATTATTATTTGGACTATCTGAGATAGCCGTAGTTTGACGGACTACTATTGATACTTGGTAATAATTGAAGGTGAAATGAAAATTTGGACCGTGGCCCGGATTCTGATTGGTCTCTGTCAGACCTCATAGCTCAGTTGGTAGATCATCGGGCCGGAAATCTGGTGGTTCGAATCCTGTCGCGTTTCAAATTTTAATTTCACCTTAAATCATTACCCAGTATCAATAGTGGTATCGGCATTTGTTTTATCTACCTTCTCTATCTTTTCTTCCACATTGCTTTATCATTTTAAACTTTAGTGATTTTTTTTCGAATTTTGTTTTTAAGTAGTATATCTGATCATTTCAGTCTGGTACATTTATTTCTAATTGATTCTCTTAAGCTCGTTTAATGATCCAACATATGTA